ACGATGTCTGATTGATATCTAGAATTAAATGATTGCCCCAATTTATGTGAATCATATGAATTATATGGCATAACATAAAAAAGACCGGATCTAATTGTATTACTAACAGCTAAGCTTAAATCTTTGATTTTTGCAAAAGTATCGGATTTGATTCTCCCGGTGCTTGACCCCTTATTCTAAAATTTATTATGCGGATTAAAATCACATCGCACAGGTTAAGAACGATATATTTGTAAATCTTTAAGGCTCCGTGTCACATCCAAAAAAGGCCGGATAAATGAATTTTTGAAAAAAAAAATCTCAAAATAAAGAGATACGTGACACAAATGTAATTATCTTTTTTTATGTTATATATTAAATCTTAGAATGAATCTAGAAAAGAAAATCCACAAATCCTAGAAAAAAAATGTCTCAAATTCTATTTGTTTCAAATTGAATGATATCGGGTATTCTTTTGTTTGTGTCATCAAAAATTTTCTTAGTAAAAAAAAAATATATATATTATAAATTAATTAACTTATTATATAAAGAATACTGATATATTACACAGCCTCATCGGGTGTGTATATAAATCTGATTTTGTTTGTACGAATCTATCAATGAAAATTAAATGAAAAGAATTGTAAGTTTGTAATTTAAATTATTTATTATCTTTCCCCAATTCATTATTTATAATTCAATTGAGTCACCGTCGTTGATCACTGAAAATCATTCAATTTTTTTGTTCTAAAGCGGGGTAATTTTAGCCAGAATTACGACATTAAGAAATTACACATGTAAGGGTGACAATTAGGTTTTTACTTAATAAAAAATGAAAAATGTGGAAGTGTGACACAAGTTGACAAATATTTTTATTATGATTACGTGATTCTATCGGACTATGGTGCGCGATACTAATTTTCTCCCTTTCTTTATTACTACGCCTTACTTTACTGTAACAAAGTTACTAAAAATAGCATTAATTAGCATAATCATGAAAGCATGAAAGTAGGTTCGAGTCAATTTTACTTTTTATTTATCGTGATTGTTCATGTGAAACTCTTATAAATAATATTTATTTTACAATGGTTTGCCCTTTTGTACTAGTGACCAAATTAGAATTATGAAAACATGTAAAATATTGGCACATGTGATACTAAAGTATGCCACATAGTAACTAAACTAACCGAAAACTTATTCCGAAACAGGGTTTGTGTGTGAAAGTGTGAAAGCATTAAAATGATTTTTACCCTTTTGTTATATTTGAATGGATGGGTTAATTATTATTTTTTTTTTTGAAAGATAAGCCTTTTTTCAATTTACATAATCGGGTTGAAACTTGAACAATGTTATACAAAATATTAACAACTAATATGATATTCGATAAAGTTATCTAAATGAAAATAAAAATAAAAAAAATCAAAGTTACTTTGTTACATTTAGTATCATGTATTATGCATAAATGTTAGATCAGCAAAAAAAGCACCTTTATGTGGTATTCAAAGATAATGAAAATTTTAAATAGAAATTCAGATGGTTATTTTTAGTATTTTGGGCGGCTACAGGTTGATGTTTCATTTCCGTTATCCGGATAAACTAATAAAATCATCTGGATGATCCTAATTCGGATATTTTATTTGGATGGTAAAGCCGTTCTTTCCGAATATCCGAAAAAAAAAAATAGTAGACTATTCCAAATACGGATCGAAAGCTGTTAGATTATACAGACAAGCCAAATATTCCTATATGAAAACAGGAATCTTTATAATACTCTACATAGTAACTAACTTTGTAATACCAAAACGTGAAACATTTGACACGCATTATAGTGCAGGCAATATTCAGCGGCCAGATTAATATCACAGCGCAACTTTCAGTTAGTTGTATGTAATAATGATATTTATCTCGATATATTGTAAATAATTTCTTTTTCTTTCTATTTTACAAATGTCGTTCATCCGAGTAATAAAGTCCATTATCACTCCAATTAGCTATTGTAGTTGTTCCGACATTTCAAATAAATTCCTACAAGAACTTATAGGGAAACCACTACGAGGAATTAAACTTTTTGGCTGGACATATAAATTGCCTGGATTTTTTTTCGCAACCAATTACACAAATGTTTATTCTTCTATTTTCGATGCTTCGAAGGTTTGATGACGATCTCTATTTAGAACATCATCAGAATGTTCTATCTCAAAATTCGATGTGTGATAAATTGAGCGTTCTTTTCCTTCGCTACATAGATTTATGAACTTGGGGAAATTGTGATAAAAAATTGTTTTTTCCAAGGAAATCGTATGCGATTTCTTTTGCATCATTAAATTTCTTTCACTTTCGGTACAGTACACAGATTATTGGAAATTTACAGATATAGTAAAAAGATATTTGGGGTAGATCAACTAAAATGATAATCAGTGGGAATGCACAAACGATATGCAGAGTTTTTCTACAATATTAACGAAATTCGAAGTTCTTAGTAAATTCCAATAATATCAATAATGTCCAATGAAGGCACTTTTAATAGAATAATTAAACAAGAAATGAATCTTAATATGTTGCTACAGTCAAACTTTTGATGTACCGATATTGGAAAAATATTGGGACCATAATGTGGGCCAGATTGTAATTCTAAAATGTAATTCTGACCGGAATTAAGATGGCGCAAAAATTTCAAATTTTATTAACTTCAGCCAAATTGTTAGTGTTGGCCGGGGTTCCTTAATGTACAATGAGGGTGTATTAAAGTACAAACCGGCCAGAATTAACGATAACGCTATCACGTGCAAGTGCATAACTCCTAAACTCTGGCCAGTTTGTACGTTAATATCGTACACCCTCACTGTACGTTAAGGACGCCCGTGTTGGCCAAGTAATACTAGCGTAACTTAAAATATCGGTACATGTTATATGGGACAAGGAAATTCTATCGGTCAAGGTTTGACTATATTTTCCTGTTTATCTTTTATTCTACCTTTAAAAGAAAATTCAATATTCGACATTTCCCTTATTACAATAAAAAAAATTAGTCACTTAATATATACGACACAAGATCTATTACAAATACGGCACTTTTTCAATATTTTCCATAATATGACGTTACATCCTTATTCCACTTTTTGTTAACTAGTAAATTCCTTATTACTTCTCCCATCTTTAGTATTTCTTCTTATCTCCATTGACGTAAAATAAACGAACCATTATGTTTAATTTGTAATAAATTCACACAATATTTCTTCTAACCTTACAATTACAATTTAGTTTAGTGCTTTCGTTTTTTCCTTAATTTGGCCCAAAATTAAACTATTAAAAGATTCCACGAAAAATACATTTATAAGTAAATTTTAAAAACTAATAAAACAGAACATCAAGCCATGTCACATCAACGGAGTTAAATCCTAGGACTTATTTTTAGCATAATTTTAGCTAAGTTCTCGAGGGTGGATCGAATCCACAATCTAGTTTGAGTGTTTGGTTTGTAAAAGTTGTTCGTTTGTTTTCAGAGAAATATAAAAATAAGAGATAATATTTTATTATTACAGTTATAAAGTGTATGGGGATATAACTTTACGTTGCATGGATCAAAAAAATCATTCATTTTAAGCTATTTCCGTCATTAAAGTTTATAAGATTGTCAGACTCCAAATAATTAGACCCATTTGAGTTGACATTCTCAAATTAAGGTAGAAGATTTTTATTTAAGTAGTGGTAAGTATTTGATAAATAAACATTTCATTCGGGTAATTCTTATATTAACATGTTTCGCTTTCTTGGATACAAGCGCTAACTGTGTATTATTTCCGTTCCTGGAAAAAACGTAATATTTAACGTTTTTTAGCTGAAGATCTGTAGCTAGGCTAAATTGTAATTATTTCCATTGACAACCTTCCTTTCCTTTACACAATTTTATAATAATAACTATGTTCTCACTTATGTTCTCAATAAATGAAAAGTTAGCAGATAAACTTTTATTTAATCTTATGTCTGCAATATTTTAAATAAAAATTACAGCTATTATAAATCAAGGACCCAGAAATATATATATAGGTCAGGTGATGAAAATTTTTTTACTGAGCTGTACGCATTTTTTCAGGGCCGGAATTATGATAATATCAGTCGGTTACTATAATAGGAAATAAAATTCTGACTGGCATTATCAAAAATTATCTATAAAAGGAATATATTTCTGGGTCCTGTTACGCCAATGTCGAGATTTATGATTTATTAGATATTGCAATCACCGCTATATATAGTCATTACACAGGTTCATATGCATATTATGTTACATTTTCATCTGTCTGATGACTAAATGGAGTAAATTAATTAAAATTTTCCATATTTATTATTATTATAGACAGCTCTCCAAACTCCGGATTTGATTCTAATAAATTATCAACTTTTTCAGAATCGATCCCGATTCCTAATTCAAATGACCAATTAGCAATTCCTTTTATCATTTAATTGAAATATGTCACATTAGTCGAAATTATTAGCTGCTCTGATCGTTCACAAATGGAACGATCATATATAAGTGAACAGGCCTATTTATTATATATAAGTCGGAACCTCCTTATTTCGACTAGCAAAATTTCTGTGCAAAATTTAGCACAATTTGTGTAATATTATTCGGGGCTCCAACTATGAACTCGAAAAATATATCAAAACAATGTCAGACATTGACACAGTAGCAAATGTATCGTTCTTATACTTTGTACGATATATTTTCTTATACCACTTGTGTGTAAACAATATATGGTACAAGAAAATAGTACCTGATGAAACAAGAGCGACATGATATTTGCGACAGTGTAATAAAGTTTTGGCTGTCACCATCTAAAATAGGAAATTTTAAATGCCTTTCTATGTTTTTCATTTTTTTTTTCTAGGTTACATAAAATCAAATAATATTTTTCGTTAATCTCGTAAAAAAATATATAAAATAGTAAAATAGTATAATCAATAATAATAATATGAAGATAAAAATTTGTTTTTTATTAAATTCAATATGCAATAATAATATCTTATATTTGAAAATGCAAAGAAATACTTGAATAATACGCTTCGGGATGTATTTCCGGATGAAAAATTTTTTTTGACAATTGAGAAATTTTCCTCCATCTTTTTTCTTCTGCAACGGAGTTTTCGTCTGAAATCTTTGAAGGATTTGGATCGTCACATATTAATATAATCCATTCTCCAAATTTTTCGTTTAAATAGGATGCAGTTGGTCGTTTTTCTGGATCATTATCCCAACATTGTTGCATTAATTCTGAATAAAAATTAGGCGTATCATCAGGAATTTTAAGTCTTTTACCATCACAAATATCTTTTGCCAAATTAATATCATGCGCTCTATTATACCAAGGTCTTTTTCTAGTTGCAAGAGTATTCATAACTATACCAAATGAATATATATCAGAAGCAGTATTATAATTATCGCCACGTAAAACTTCTGGCGCGACATATGGTAAAACTCCATATCTTTGAATTGAACCATTATTTATGTCATTATTACATGGTCCATGAAGACCAACGTCAGCAATACGAGCATCTGTAGATACCTTTTCGTCTTCGATAAGTAAATTTCCTCCGTGAAGATTTCCGTGAATTTTTCCTTCAGAATGGATTCTTTCGAGGCCTCCAGCGATTCCCCACAGCATATCAATCATATCTCTCCAGGAAAGAATTCCGTTGCAATGATTAAGATATTGATAAAGGTTTCCGTTCTCGTAATATTTCATCACAATCATATAATTGGATGTCGGATCTTTTGTAATACCATGAAGACCTATGTCAACAATACGAGTGGAGATTTCCTAAATTTTTCCCTCGGAATGGATTCTTTCGAGGCCCCCACAACATATCAACTACTATAATATAATAAAAAGGAAATAAGCTAAAAAATTTTCGAAAGCTATTTGTTTCAAAAAACAATTGAATGATATTGAGCATTCTTTTTGTTTGTATCATTTGTATC